CTCTTTCCAATTTCATGTTGGCTAATCTTTTGAGTATGACTTGGCTTCTCATGTAGATTAACCAAGAGAGTGACTCTTGTAGTCTTTGAGGGTTATGGTCCTTTTTGTACTATAAATAGAAAACTGGCATTCTGACATTGTTATCATTATATTAATATAGTGTGCCCCTCAGACATGGATTTGTTCTTAGCAAGCTGGTAAAAGAAGTCTTCTATGCTCATGAGCCAAGTACCAAATCTTTTCTATAGTAAGAATCCCCAGGGTTATAAATGCTGTCTTCTGGGGCCTTTCGGGAGAAGTTACCACTTTCCCTTATTCAACATCTACTATCCCACCCCTGCCTACCCTATGTTTGAATACAATTGTGCCTTTGTACATAGAATAGCAGAAGAAACATGGGTTTTGGATCCTAACTTGCTACTTACTAATTGAATAACTGGGAACAAGTTACTTAATCTCTCTGTGCCTCACTTACAAATTAAGGTGTGTCCGGTGGGGTTGATGTTAAGGGTAATGTATATAAGACACTTATTACAATCTCTGGAAAATAGTAGATGCTCCTTAAACATGCATTACAAATGTTAACAAATGAGAAGTAGATTATTCTCAGGACCACAGCATGGGGAATAGGCTCCATTGCGTCCTTTTCTCCAAAGTACATAGAAAATATTGCATCCTATTCCATTAATCCTCTTCTTACTGAAAAGCCAAGTACAAGGGAGGGTTCACTGTTACTTACCATAACTTTAATTTGTTTATTACTCTTGATTCAAATTTCAGTTCATACATTGTACAGTTTATGGATCTCTTTCCCCCTCTTTATGCCTTCACCCCTTCTTCCAGATACCTGGTTTGCAACATGATAGCTCCTGTTTCTTTTAAAACTTAGCTCAGATACAGGGGCCTTCATTTTCTGTTCTTCATACATGCCAAACATGCTCCTGTCTCAGGCCCTTTGCCCTTTCTGGTCCCTTCCCTTGATCACTTTGTCCCCAGAGCTTCACAGGCTGGCTGCCACTCAGCCTGAAAATCTCAGTTTAAGTGTTACTATTTCAAAGAAATCTTTCTTAACCATCTTGTGCATTTACCTATTCCACAGTCATTTCTCTCTCTTTGCTCTGCATTATTTTCTTCATAGTATCATCACTATCTGAAGAAACCTCAGCTTATTTACCCTTTTTTCTTACATAATGTCCTGTTTCCCCCACTAAGCTGGACTGGATCAGAAATTATGTCTTTTACCTTCACCCCAGAACCTGGAGAAGTGTCTGGCACACAGGGTTAGGGTTAAATACATGTTTACAAATTTGATAAATGAATGACTATTACCTACTCTGGAAGTCTTCCTTAACCACCAGGCTAGATTAAGTTCTCACTCCTCTTTGGAACTTCTGTTCTTTGGGCATACTTCATTGTGTAGCATTTGAACTGTATTATAATTGCTAATTGTGCTATTTAAAAAAAAATACCTTTTATGCATCCTCCCATGGTAGTAAAGCTTTCAATGGTAAGATAGGAAAGAAGAAGGACAAGTGCTAAAACCCTAGCCAGGATTCTGCAAAATGTATATGGGGTAACAATGGGAGTTCATAACCCACTTGAATCAAATGTATGAAATATGATATGTCAAGAGCTATGTAATGTTTTGAACAACCAATAAAAAAAAAAAAAGAAAAAGAATGCACATGTAGGAATGGGCTCCCTCTGCTGATACAACATCGACCAATAAGCACCATAAAACCTGGATACCTTCCTGACAAGTAGAGAGTTTAGGAAAAATAGCTCTGATAGGGATCAACTTGATATTGTATATTTAGATAAATAAGGCTTTTTAAATTGGAAGAGATGGAGATACCTATAATTGGCAAATTTGAAGGTTCTTCCCAACTTAACTCTTCCTACATATTATTTAGTGAGGTAGAGACTATAAAGTTTAGATTTCTTTCTTTCTTTCTTTTTTTTTTTTTTAGAGAGAGTGAGAGTGAGAGAGAGAGAGAGAGAGAGAGAGAATTTTTTAATATTTATTTTTTAGTTTTCGGCAGGCACAACATCTTTTTTTGTATGTGGTGCTGAGGATCGAACCCGGGCCGCATGCTTGCCAGGCAAGTGCTAACGCCTGAGCCACATCCCCAGCCCCACAAAGTTTAGATTTCTTACAAAAAAAAAAAAAAAAAAATTGTTAGCTTTGACTTTTTGCTTTTGAGCTATATAGTATGAAGCATAGTCCTTGGCTATATTAATTTTTCTCTCCTTCTCTCTCTTCTACTCTTTAGACTATATACTCTTTGAGGACACAGTCTATGTCTTTTGGTATGTATTCCTATTGTCTAGTACATATAGGAGCCACAAATGGAAGCTACATGTGTAATTTCACATTAAAAACAAAAAGAAACAGGTAAAACTAATTTTAACATATTTAATTTAACCTAATGTTAATATAATATTATCATTATAACATGAATCAATATAAATTTTTAATGGGGTATTTAAATTTTTTTCTTGTGTTTACTAGGTGTTTAAGATCTGGTGTGTATTTTACGTTGACAGCCCATTGCACTTTGGACTAGTCATCTTTCAAAGGCTTAACAGCCATATGTAGCTAGTGCCTGCTTTATTGAACAGCCTACGTCTATCACAATTCCTGCTACAGAGCAGATAAAAAGTAAATATTTGTTCCATAAATGTATTTATAATACTAAACATTATCACTATAATGTCTTCCTGCTTTTTTTTTTCTTTTAAAGTAGAGAAGCATGACAAATTATACTTTACCTTTGATATACAGCATATATAGTTCTTGGCCAATAAATATGTAACATTAAATTTGTTTTTTTAGTTGTTGATAGACCTTTATTTTTATTTATATGTATGTGGTGCTGAGGATTGAACTGAGTGCCTCACACATGCTAGGCAAGCACTCTACCACTGTACTACAACCCAAGCCCCTGTAGCATTAAATTCTTAAACAAGGTCATACAACATTTATTTTAACATGTCTTAAAATGACATTCAATTACGACCTTGGTTTCACTGTGTTTGTGTCAAAACTCATGGCTCCAAAAAACTTGTAATCTCTTGCATAATAAATATAAGTACACTTGAGTTGCACAGACCATAGCTAATATTCAAATGACTTTGTATAATCTATTATAATATTTAATAGAATCTCAGATTGTGGTTTTTAAAAATTCAATTAAGATGTTCTATATCTAATTACTATCCCATTTTATTGTCTTTTGCTCAGCTTCCCAAAATAAATAACCATGTTTACCTTGCTTAATGGAAGATTAATTTGATCAAAAAGACAGTCTGTACCTTGTGGGGATTTCCAGTTGAAAACAATCATTTTCTTTCTTATTGTACCCTCCTGGAGTTGAAGTTATTTATCTGCTAACCCTTTGTAAGGGCAAGACTTTATCTTCTCCCTTGTGTTTACTCTTTTTTTTTTTTTTTTAGTTGTAGTTGGACACTATACCTTTATTTTATTTTTATGTGGTGCTGAGGATCAAACCCAGTGCCCGGCAGGTGCTAGGAGAGTGCTAGGAGAGTGCTCTACCCCTGAACCGCTGAGCCACAACCCTAGCCCCTTATTTTTATTTTATTTTATTTTTTTGTGGTGCTGGGGATTAAACCCAGGTTCTTGCACATGCAAGGCAAGCACTCTACCAACTGAGCTATATCCCCAGCCTCTCTTATGTTTATTCTTATTGCCTTTCAATACACTCTAATATGCCAAGAATTTTAACATTCATCCCACCCTAAAATGTTGATCACAATCAGGCAATGATTGTGATCATTACTTATGATCTACTAACTTTATGAAGATATGCAATGACATTGATTCTGGAATAGACTGAATGTCACAGATGATATTGTGGAGTAATAACCATTACCTAACGATCCTCTCCCTACCAGTAACTTATGACACTTCCAGTGGTTCCAACATATTTTGCCACTTTGCTGCTAAGAGAGACACAAACAATCCTGAACCTCCCTCATGATCCCCCATGAAAATTAAGTATTAATTTCTCTGACTCACTAGACTAGGTAGAGGCTGAGACTATTGAAACGCTACAATTATCGTCCTTTGAGTTCTCCCACGTTGAGTTCTTAGTGATTTTCTGGGGTAGTAAGGCAATCCTTACTCTATGGATTTGCTATACTAAGAACTGTTTCTTTGAATAACTTTTTATTTGGCATCTATCACAAGAGAAGCTCAGAAGACACAGGGAGGACCGAACCAGATGCCCAGCAAAAATCCTTAAATGCAGGGTCAACTTCCCTTTTCAGACAAAACCCTGCATCTTCCTCGCTGATGTCTAGCCCCTAAAATATTTTGTTTTAGGTTTAGTTAGGAAGAATTGTCTCAACAGTCGTTTCTTTAAAAGTCAAGGTGGTATTAAATAGAGGTGACAACATTGAAGGTTTACAAATCTGCTATTGAGAATATTTACAAATTTATAAATTCAGAAGGAAGTATTCTGCTCCAACTTGTAATCCAGGCGCATTTTGCTGCTCTGGAAACTAGGAAACGTTAAGACTGAATTCAAATCAATTATTTCAGAAATCTTACAGGTGAAGCCTGGCTCTGGGTTGCTAAGCAACCTGACAAACTAAAGTAGGGACCAACTCGCCTCCCACACTTGACTATCTCTCCTCAGTGGTGGGACGCGGAGCCCCGATTGGCCCCCATTTCCTCTCACTGAGCCCGAATTGGTCAGAGAACCTCTCACTCCTCTCTCGTTGGCTCTCGCCGTCTCTCGCCGCTCTGTCATTGGCACCCAGGCTCTCGGGCCACCCGACGTCACTGTCTCACCCCACTTCCTCGGCCCTTCAACTTGGTCCCCTCCCCTTCCCCCGCCCTTCCAGCCACGAGGGAAAACTCTAGCGAGTCCCCGCCTCTAGTTTTCTTCTGATTGGTAGAAAGCGGACTGGAAGGCGGACGCTGCTGGGCTACTTTGCTGACTGCAATTGGCTGTTGCAGCCATTGTCCCGCCTCCCCCCGACTCCCGGCTGTGCCGGAGTCGGGTGGGTCGGCGGCTATAAAGCTGGTAGCGGAGGGGAGGCGCCGCGTACGGTCTTTTCGCGGCTGTGTTTTTTCCTGTGGTCACTACCCGGTCACATTTGGGTGAGTGTCCGGCGCGGGGGAGGAGAGCTGGGCTGCAAGAGGCGCCGCCTGCGGGTGTGGGCCAGGAGGAGGCGGTGTCCTTGACTAGGCCCAAAGGAGCCGGGCTCCGGCTCCGGGTCAGGGATGAAGCGTGGACTTGGCTCTGGCCCAGGAGGATGGGACGCCGAGAGCTCGGGCAATGCAGGGCTTGACGTGCGGGGCCTACCTTGCTAGGGACTCGGGGCCGACTGTGGCTAGTCTTAGGAGGGACCTGGTACCCCGTAGTGGGCAGGCGAGTCACGGAGGAGAGGTAAAAGGGCATTGAGTGAGGGCCAGGTGTTCTAATGACAAAGTTGGAAGTGCTGGAGAGGCGGCTGTGCCGGCTGGGGTGGGTTGAAGGGGAAGAGAAGGGAGCTGGGCTGTCAGTGTGTTCCCAGAGCCTTTGGTTAAAGGTGGATGCTAAAGGGATGGGGAAGATCTGAGTTGGGAGGAGGTAGGGGGTGTGTCCTCCTACTGCCACAGATAGAGAGTTGATGGAAGGAAGGGGAATTAGGCAGCATTGCTTTTCTTCACCATCTCAGTTGCAAGAAATCAAAGCTGTTTAGACCCTACCGAATATTGGTGCTTTGGACACGTTCGATCTGTGCTTGCTTGAAATCTAAAATAACCTGCCTCTCTACTTCCCGCTTCCGTGTGTATAGATGTATATCTATACATCTGGGTGGTTTTTGTTTGGTTGGTTTGTTTTGTTTTTGTTTGTTTTAGTGTCTGCCTTAAAAATAGATCATCTCAGTATTCTGAAATTCTGCACTTTCCTCCTGCTAATAACTTCAAGACCAGCCTTAGGAGGGAAATAATGAGGTAATGAGCAGTCACCCACAGAACCCTCACATAGTTGGGCTAATCATGGACATTTTAAGCTAAGCATATGAAATCTTTAAAAATATGCATCCTACTTTGACCAGTGGTAGAGGAAGAATTACTCTGCCCCAGTCTGGAAAGAAGAATTTGAGAAACAGATACCGTGATGTTTCCCAATTTATTGTACTTGCCCCTGTGGCTGTGGCCTTAGGGCATCATTGGCTTCTTTCACTGCCCACCTCTGCTGCAGCCCCTGCCTATGATCTAAACAACCTGCTGCAGTAGGATTGTGTGTTCTGATTGTTGCAAACTAACATTTATTCTATTTTTAAGGATGAATCATGAAAAACATGGCAAGATAAAAAATTCAATCCAGACAAATGGAAGTACTCATATAGTTAATAATTATTATTATTTTATTCCAGATTCTAGTAGATGGGAGGTAGATTCAAAGTCCCTAGCATGTATCTGTGCAAGGGGTTCTTTGCAGCTTTGAGACATGAAAGAAGTTTGTGTTCTTTGACGAAAACTTTAATTTTAAATTTCAGTTATTTCTATGTGGAGACAGAAGGCAGAGAGCATATCTTATGGAAAGAGGGAAAGACTATCTTTGTGTCAAACTTTTGTAGATATTTCTCTCCTAAATTAGTAAATTTGCAACTTAGTTGAGTTTAATTTGAACATAGTTAGTAATCTGAGTTCTCAGAAGGTGGGTCCAATGCTTGGGAGCAGGAGTGTAAAGTGATATTATGTTTGAAGCTTTAGAAAGCCATCTGGGACTTGCTTTTAATTTTGCTTGTCTTAAATATTCCTTCTGATTACTATTACATCTTGATTCTTTTAACTGTGGGATTGATTTTGAGGTTTTAGACTTAGAATTTAGATAGATTTTTCTCAAAATAAATGGAAAATTTCAAATATTGATATAGCATGGGAACTGGAATGTGGGGAAATGGAAGAACTTAATGGGCTTTATATCAGAATCTCTAATTAGTTTCTGATTTACATTTGATCTTAGTCAAAGACCTAGAAGTGATAATGGTTACATTTAGAAAGAAATGTAGTCTTATGATTTGATATTGGGTTACTATAAAACCAAAGGTGTGTTACTCAAAGTTTCTCAAGAAGGTGGTATAGGTTAAAAGATGGAAGAAATATGTTACTTAATCTAATGGGAGCATGTTAGAACTAGATTCTTAATCTGTTCATCCTAATTCTTGGCACATGTGTATGTTCTCTTGTTGTCTTGAATGTCAATTGAATGTAGTTAGAATGTTAGAAGAGAATCTAATCTTTCAAAGCTTACTATTTTCATCTTTGTAAGGTTTGCGGTTGTGTGTGGGTGCTTTGGGGAATGATTGTAAAATCAGTAAATATTCTCTTCTGATTTCATTTGGGCTCTTTACATTTTTATGATAAGGATCTGGGAACAATTCAAACTTACCATTTGCTTTGAACATTAGTGGTAGAGAGCCAATTTTCTTAAACTCCTGGACACTATTTGGTCCTGTAGTTCATCTTGAAAATGATAGCAAAAATAATGAATTGGTAAGGGCTGCCAAGTCCTTGAATCTAAAAGATTTGCCCTCTAGTTCTTATAACTCCACATTCAGTCACTCGAGAAAGGGCAATGGATATTTAAAAATCAATACAGTCTCTCTCCCAACAGGAGTTAGGAACCCCAATATGGATAAGAAGACTCTCCATAACTAGTTTTCAGTAGAGAGTAGGCTATGAAGACTTGAGTGTGAGTGACACATAAGTAGGAGTGCAGTCTGATTAGAAAACTCACTTTCTATGTGATTTATCTGGAAAACCTTCCTAGTCTCTTCTAGTTTAGAATAAGGCCTTGAAATAGTAATAGCATCTCTGATAGGCAGACAAGTAGTTCTCGGGGAAGACAGGAATGTCCATGTATTGTACTTGGGAGAAGTACACCAGAGTGTACAGCTGAGGACAGGGTTTTACCAGTAGTTTTTGCCTGCTTGATTCTAAAGAAGAAAGGTTACCAAATCATTCTCAATTTGCTGAATTGTTCTTCAGTTAACTGAAAAAGATCAACTGGTAACTGTTTATAGATTATCATGTACCAAAATGTGTACTAGATTAATTTATCTGACCACTCATTTGAATCAAGGCAGAGAAGGGAGCCAAAAGGTAAAATCCAGAACCCTAAGTAAGTTCCAGAAGAAAGCACTGTTGTATGAATCTGGTTGGCCCCAAGCAATCTCGTCATTCTTGAGTTTTACTCTTTGGCAAACTCAAAATGTCTATATGGGTACTTAGGAGTCTCCAAACATGCTTTTTGGTAACTGTTTCCTGACCCATATAATTTCCTTCTATCATTTGCACTGAAACGACCTGTTACAAGCTGAAGACCTGTTTGAGGCCTTGGCAATACAGGATGAGTATCCCTTATCTGAAATGCTTGGGACAGGAAGTTTTTTGGAATATTTGCATGTATGTAATGAGATATGTACCTGCTTTTTTTTTTTTTTTTTTTAATGCTGAGGATTGAACCCAGTGCCTCACGTATGTATGCAAGGCAAGTGCTCTGCCACTGAGCCACAACCCCAGCTCCACGTGCTTGCCTTTTAACTGTGATCTGTGACATTAGGTCAGATGTGGGAATTTTCACATTCAGCATTATGTCAGCAGCGCTTAGAAAGTTTAGGATTTGGGGAGCACTATATTTAAGTCAGATGTTCAGCCTGTATTGGTTTTCTCAGAGTAGAGAACTCTTCCAATAGCTACAGGAAAGAACAGAAAATTAATCCCTCTTAAGTTAGTTCTTTCCCCACAGTACCATTTACTATCTCCATTTCTTTCCTAATCTCTAGGCCTCTCTTTCTCTCTGGAATTACTTTCACAAGCGATATGTGGGCTTTGATCATATCATCCTGAAGTAGCACAGCAGTTCTTTCTTAATCTTTTCTATTTTTTCCTTTGCTCTTGCGTGTGGGTGCACGCGCGCAAACGCACACACATGCTTTTTCTCTCCCCACCTAACTTTTCTTCCCAATTTAAATAATCAAAATAGAAAGAGGAAATATAGGCAGTTCAGGGGAAAATTACTTGATAAAAATGGTGTCAAATACATATACAGACGGGCCTCAAGGACCCAATGTAAGTTATTTTAAGTTGCCTTAACATGGAGAGAGAATCATGTTTTCCCCCATCACTGAAAACTGGTGTCTGTGGTCTGCTTAATTTAGAGTACAAAAGGATAATTTGAGACAATACAGATTAAAAGATAGATTATTTTCTCAAAATGTATGTATAATGCTATAATCAAAGAGATTTTTTTAAATGTAATAATCTCTTTTCCTACAAAATTCAAGTAGAAGAAACTAAGGCTATAATAAAGGATTTTATAGTCCCCAGTTAACTGAGCAAAGGCAGATGCTAAATTTGCCAGTTGTTTAGAGTGGAGGAAATTATGTACATGTTAACCATAGAAGCTCTATCTCAAATAACAGCCTTCAAAACAGATCAACTGAAGAAAATACTCAAGTCATTTTCCTAGGTGATTTTCATATAACTTTAATGGTAATAAAATTTAATGCTCCTTTGCCTAAATGCTTACTTTTTAAACATAAGCACTAAAAGAGTAGGGGAAATCACTTTTTTAAAGGTTGGGGAGAATGAAGATAGCCATGTTAAATATGAGTATAAAATTAAACAAATCATAATGATTAGGTCTTGCTAGAAATCTTTATTTGAATAATACTAATAATAACAGGGTAATAATAAAGTATTGGTGCTTTTTATTATAATACGTTTTTTACATATTTTATCTTCACAATGAGCTAGGGAGGGCAGTTATATTAGCTTCATTTTATAGGAAATTGAGGTTCAAAGAGGCACAAATTGCTATTTCAGCCACAAGCCCCCAAGGGCAGGGTAACTCTTGAATATGTAAGTTGCTTTATTCCAGAAATGTACAATTTACCTAAACACCTTCTTCCCAATTCCTGATAAAATAAATTTAGTAGAGAAGACTGCAACTTCACAGTTGATTTAAAGCCTGAATCACTGATATGATTGTATTTAAATTCATTGCTGACTGAACCTAAAGAGGGGGAAAGAGTTTTATAAGCTTTAAGAAACTTTTCTAAGTACCTGTCAAATCTTTTCTGCATGATATAATTGGATAAGGAAATGCTCATTTGAATTGAAGTCATATTACTTGAATTTGTGTAAATGATTTATGACTTTAAAAGAAGTTCTTACTTGAAATTCCTAGTGCCCAGCAGAGGAAACAGTGACAGACCTGGAGGCTGCAGTTCTCTGTCCTTCACACAGGTATGCTATCATATCGTGCAGCTTAAGTAAAGTGTTCTGTTTTGAGGGAAGGGGGAAATTTAATTTTTATCCTAGAACAAATAACCATTTATATGTGCCATATATTTTTAAATTACTTTTCATGATCATTTATACCTTGTCTTCAAAAATTAACGCCATCATGCTTCAGAAAACTGATTTTGTGTTTATTAGACTAAGGTTGAATATCTAGCAAAGAGTTTTTAAAATTAGTGTTCACTCTTCAGAGAAAAAATATAGATAATAAAGTATAATCACAAACCACTTACTAACTCATTAAGTCCCAAGCTTGCTTTCTTTCTTCCTTTTAATATTTATTTAATTGTAGATGAACACACAGTATCTTTATTTATTTTTATGTGGTGCTGAGGATTGAACCCAGTGCCTCACACATGCGAGGCAAGCACTTTACCACTGAGCTACAGCCTCAGCCCCACCCCCACCCTCAAGTTTTCAATTCTGTGAATATTTCAGCGAAATATTCAAGTACATGGTAATGAGTGCATTAAAATAGATTGTGAATTGTCAACAGCTTACATATATTTTATATATTTTCACATATATGTGGAAATGTATGTATTTTTTCAAACACTAGTCATTCACCTATTTTCTTAATACAATTCTAAAAACATAATATTTATTTTAAAAGTTACCATAAGCGGTATATTTGTTGCTCAATTTAAATTTTTATAGTACCTCATATTTGGGACAATGGAACTTAATAGGGTAATCAAAAAAATCATAGGCAAGCATGTGTACAAACAATGCTTTTTAAATTATAGTTTTAGAAGATGCATATCTGGGTTGTGAATGAATGTTTAAAATTATGTGAGAATGGATAGTGATTATAAGTGTGTTTGAAGCAGTAATTTAATTATTTGCAGCTGTTGCTTTCTCATATTGCCATGTAGTGCCTGTCTTATGATTCTGCTTTTTCTTGAATTTCAGTATTATGGTTTCCTATTATAATAGAAAGCTAGTCAGATCTCTTTTACTCAGCATTCAATATCAGCCATATTCCAAACAATGAGCTGAGTATTGGGATGTAGTGATGAGCAAGACACAATTTCTACTGTCAGAGTTCCTTGTCTCACAGTGTAAAGAGTCTGAGCTTAAATAATAGAATCTTGAGAGAGATTAAAATAGCATGTTAATCATCAAACATGTGTTTTCAAAAGATATCTGTTGGCCAAGGACAGGAAAGTGGAGGCAGAGAGCTTAGTTAGGAGGTTGTCATAGTAGTCCATGGGGCAGGTGCTGAAGTTGTTCCCTTATATAAGCCATTGAGAAGACAGGTCAGTGCCACCTTTGCACCAGCATCCCCAGCTGGTTTACCTCCCCTCACCATTCCCCCCACCCCAATTATCTTTMATTTACAGATTTATTCTTGGTGATATATTAATCTTTTTCCTATCAAGGTAGGAAGCCCTTAGAAAGTGTTAACTAGGCTTTCTTTTTTACTCTGTTCACTAAAAATAGGACTTGGAGTTCCTTTTGTCCACCAGAGGAGGTGAGCAGTCACTTTAGGTAAAAAAAGACTTCTGTCCTCTGGTAGTTGTTTCTTTGAAGATTTGGAAGGTTTATTAAGAGTTCTGTAGTAAATGTGTACACATTTTCCCTCCTTTTAAAAAGTTGGAATTGAAAAATAAAATTTAGATATTTTCTTATATAGAATCTTTGCTATGTTGCTTGGATTTTTTTTTTTAATAAATGTACTCTGAAAAACAATGAAATAAACTTCATCAGCAAAAAATTTTAAATATGAATAAATGTTTTTAAGTGTCAGATTTTCAAAATTGTGTTCTATGTAAAAATTTTTTTGTGTGTATTTTGTTTATTAAGAATAGTGAATTAGCTAGACTATTCCTGGTAGAGAATTAGCACATAATATGAACATCTCAGACCTTTTACTAGTTTTTTGTTTCCCTAATTTATATCTAGCCTACTTGAGAAGCATATGAGAGGACCTTTTTTAAAACAGTCCATACATAAAAGAACAAAAAACCTTGGTGCTGTCCTTTGGTTTCCTACTTTTGACTTCTGCTTAGGGATTCACTGCCTTTCTCAGACCATTTGGTTCCTAGGAATGAAAAGAGTGTTCTGCTCTTCTGGAAATTGCTTTCAGATAGGGCTGTTGACTGTCAAAGTGGGGCACTTTAATTGGTGAAATATGATAGGGAAGAAGTGCTAAAGGTAATTAGTAGTTGTCTATTGAGTGTTGTTATGATTTTGAAAGAGTAGAATGCTATCAGTTTGGTTTGGAAAGGTTTCATGGGTGAGATGTGATGTACATAATCCAGAGCTGTAAAGGATCGGAAGAAGCAGAAGCAAGAGGTGGGTTGTTGAAGAAATGACTAGATGTTTTGGGATAATGAATAGAATATTGGAGAGTGAAGGGAGGGTAACTTTATTTGTAGGACAGGGAAAGATTGGGTAATATTTAGCATTTATCCTCAATTACTAAGGTTAGTAGAATTCTCTTCATGTTTTCTAGTGTAGGTTGCATAAGTCAAAGCTAAGAATCTTATGTAAAGTTCCATATAGAATGGTGGTAGATGGCAAGGATAACTTGGAAAAAAATATATGTAGTTGTTGGTGAAATGACAGGAGCAAAGGCAGCTTAGCTTGTCTCAGTTTGTTCTCTTCTTCACTTCTTCATTGATAGCTCTGAGAGCTGGTTTGGTTGAACCCCATTTACCAGAGAAAAGAACGGAAGGAAATAGGGTTTTCATGGAAGAAGGGAAGATTAGAACAAAGTGGAGAGGTACTTCCCTGTTCACTTAGCATATCTGACAGGGAGCATAAAAAGTCATAAAACAGTTGGCTAGAAATCTGGGAGTTGTTCTAGATCCCCACACATTTCCTTCTTTTCCTAACATCTAGTCAATTGCAATTTCTGCCAAATTTTTGCTTCTGCATTTTGGGAACTCTTCCTTCTTTTACCCCACATATAGTAATTGTTCTATGACCCATATTTTATCTGAACTGCTGTATCAGCTTCTTAACTCAAACCCATTGTATACATAGCACCTTTGACTACAAAATAGCAGCTCTCAGTTTTGACTGTGATCCCCCAGTAGGAGGTAATACTGTATATGTGTGAGTAATTGAAACAAAATCCAAGAAAAAAAATCCATATATTTGTTATGCTATGTAATCTGGTATTTCCTATTTTCTGTTTCATTCTTAAAAATATTTGCTGTCCCCTAAACGGATTCCAGGGCTGAGAAAATATTGCTGTGATGATTAATATGATCACCTTATTCCTTTTTTAACCTCTTTGATTTCTTACTATCTTTATGATGAATTCAAAGCTGCTGATATCAGTACATTAGACTCTTCATTACCTGACCTTAACCTAGTTCTCCTGACGTATTTGCCTCATCCATTCACTGGCACTAAGATTTCATTTCAATAGATAGTAAAGTTTTATAGTACCTTATAGTGTGTCTTTGTTTATGCCGTACACCCTGATGAAAATTTTGTAGCACCATCTGTTTCTGCAGTGTTTTACTGTTTACTTCCATATATTCAGTTCTGAATACTATAATGTAATTATATATTGTTACCTATTGATTATTATGTATTTTTATCTTACTGTCCCACTAAAATTATTCCAAATGTTTTAGCCTGTAACATGTTGGTATTCTTTGGATGAATGAAGAAGAATAATATTCTTGTATTTAGAATAAATATTCAACTGGTGGACTTTAAGATCATTAATTTAGATTTTGTGATTATATTTCTAGGCACTGTGTGTGTGTGTGTGTGTGTGTGTGTGTGTGTGTGTGTGTGTGTTACTGAGAACTGAACCCAGAACCTTGTACATTCTAGTCTAGGGCTTTAGCGTTGCTACATCCTTGGCCCTTTTTAAAATTTATTTTGAGACAGGGTCTTGCTAAGTTTTTTTTTTTTGTTTTTTTTTTTTTTTTATGGGGCAGGGGGATGATACTGGGAACCCAGAGGTACTCAACCACTGAGCAACATTGTTAGCCCTTTTAAAATTTTTATTTAGAGAAAGTGTCTCTCTAAGTTGCCTTAGGGCTTGGCTAAGTTACTAAAGCTAGCTTTGAACTTGTGATCCTCCTGCCTCAGCCTCCTGAGTTGTTGGGTTGACTTTTCATTTTTAGGTTATCAAGTTAGTCATAGGTTGGCAAATACTACAGAAAGTTAGTGAATCAGAATGGCCCTAGTAACTCATAAATCAGGATCTTTAGATCAATGAAGAGCTGAAATTCTGCCACCTTAGCAGTCCTGTTCTGCTATATATGTGTGATATGTGTCATACTTAAAAAGGAAATTGAGTTGTAGAATTTTGGATATGGAAAGGATTCTTTAAAACTGGGGTGATGTATCACTCTTCAAAGCCTGATAACATATTGCTGACACCTGTTCCATCTGGGTCCTGGTTATGATACCAGAAGAGGTACTCTGGTGAGATGAGAAGGTCTTGTTTGTAGTGGCAGGAACACCAGGAATATAGGCTTGGGGGATCTCAAGAACTACCTTTCCCCTTTGTTCCTCTAGCCCAGACAGCAAATCTATAATCATTTCCCTGGGTAATCCCCACTCTGTTGGAAATATCTAGAATAATTTCTCATGTCTTAATTCATAAAATCTTTCAAAGATATTGAGCCTCTAGTAAGTTAAGTGATTTGCCCTTGAGGTATACAGTAGTGGTCCTGAGAACTAGCACTTTTACTTTTGGTAAGTAAATCTAGATGCTTCTTAAAGTCTTCATTGTGTGGCAGTACTCCAACTTTTTAGTGCCATTTTAAAAAAGAAATCATGGTTTTAGGAGTTAGTTGCTACATAGACATAGCATGCATTATCAGAGATTCTTTTTTTCTCATGATTTAGAAGATGCAGTTTAATGTTCATTTATTACGTATACACTGCTGCAGAAATTGAATTGTAGAATATTGGCATTTGACCCTGTAATGGGTCCTGGAATGTATCTTTGCACAAAATGTTAATTATTTGRTTTCTTTTTTGGGATAGGATTATAATCATAGAGGCCCTATACAGATTAGCTTGCTAGACTTCTATACTGTGGTTTTTCTACTTGCTGAGATTATTTAGATTAAATTTTTAAAAAGAAATATTTTTAAAAGCCTGTAATCCTAGCCACTTGGGAGGTTGAGGTAGGAGGATCACAAGATCAAAGCTAGCCTCAGTGGTTTAGCAAGATAAATGATAAAATGGACTGGGGATGTCGCTCAGTGGTTAAGCATTCTTGGCTTTAATCCCTGGTACCCTCCTCCCCMAAAAAAGCAACATCACTTGATCTAATGATTTTTGTATTTCCTAAAGTCAATAGTTGTGGATAATCAATATAATATACCTATTATGAATAAATGGCATATTTATTTCAACCTTTTTATTATAAGTCAGATAATTCTGATTTGTCAGCTATACTTTTAAATTGTCATTATATTTTAGCTTACAGTTCTTTGCAGTACAGAAGAATTTTATTTGAATGTTGCTTACCTCTACTAATCATGTTTTAAATCCATAGATGCCCAGTTTTGAATAGTTTTTTTAAACTTTGAATAAGTTTTTTAAAAGCTTATGATTTTAAGAGATAATATTCCATTTGTACAATCATTGCTACTTTACAGATTTACAGTTGGCTGCCCTAAGTAAAGTGTACTAAAACTTAGACTAAACCAATATTTCAGGTGATTATTGGACTCACAACTGCTTCTCAATCTTGAATTTTAAAGTCAGCAATTTGTAGCCTAAAACAATGTCTGTTTCTCTTTTTCTTTCTAAAGCTCTTTCACCATGCCTGGGTCACTTCCTTTGAATGCAGAAGCTTGTTGGCCAAAAGATGTGGGAATTGTTGCCCTTGAGATCTATTTTCCTTCTCAATATGTTGATCAAGCAGAGTTGGAAAAATATGATGGTGTAGATGCTGGAAAGTATACCATTGGCTTGGGCCAGGCCAGGATGGGCTTCTGCACAGATCGAGAAGATATCAACTCTCTTTGCCTAACTGTGGTTCAGAATCTAATGGAGAGAAATAACCTTTCTTATGATTGCATTGGACGATTAGAAGTTGGAACAGAGACAATCATTGACAAATCAAAGTCAGTGAAGACTAATTTGATGCAGCTATTTGAGGAGTCTGGGAATACAGATATAGAAGGAATAGATACAACTAATGCGTGCTATGGAGGCACAGCTGCTGTCTTCAATGCTGTTAACTGGATTGAGTCCAGCTCTTGGGATGG